TCAGTTCAAAGTGGAGGAACTTTCTAACTGTGTGGGGGACTGCCTTGTGATGTGGTGGAATCGCTGTCACTGGTGGTATTTGAGCAGAAACCAGATAACCATCCATGGGAGATTCCTGTAGTGGGCGGAGATTGGGTCTGGGCCTTTAGAGCCCTTCTGACTGTGAGATTTTATGAGTCACTGTGGGATGAAATTTAGCCCACACATCAGGGTGGTAGAGTGTGAGCTTTGGGGCCAGATCAACCTGGGTTCAAAATCTGGTTCAGCCACTTCCTTGCTCAGGGACTGTGGGCAAGTTTCCTCTCTTAGCCTGAGGTTCCTTGTAACAAGGTGGACATTATAATACCTACCTCATGAGATTGCTTTGAGTGTTAGGATGATACCGGTATATATTGTGCTCAGTGTAAAGCAAGAACTCAAAAAATCGTGCCTACTATTATAGCCATTAAATGAATGGCCAAATCTCAGATTGGTGGGTTCTTTGGTGGCCTTTTATCATAGGATTGGGTGAGAGAATTACATCCATGTGTTAACCAAAGTACCAAATGTTTGAATACTTAACACATGTAGGAAACCAGCCTTTTCTCTGATAGTGCCTGTCTCAGAAATAATCATGGAAAACACGATGCATAAGTGGGTAAAATGCAAGAAATACTTAGGGAATTTGATGTCTGTGCCAACAATTGAGAATATGAACCTCTGACTCAGAGAGGACATATAAGATCATCTAAACAGTCCCCGACTGGGAACAGGAATCTCCTCTAAGATCTTGACAAGTCTCATTAGTTATCTGCATGTGCAGCCCAGGCGATGGGGAACTCACTACCTTCTAAGTCTGTCCATAGGAAACTCCCCAAATTTCTCAGCCTGTTCTCTAGTTTGCCAACTGGGAAATGTAACTTTCTAACAACTACATTTTCTCATTGAGACCAGACCTCAGTGTTATAGGAACCTTTATGACCACATGGCTGGCAGAGGTGAAGAGTGCTAACCAGACAGGTCTGTGGAACATTTCACAAGCAGACCTCGGGCATTCTCGGAAGCAGAGAGGTGGTTAAGAGTGAGTTTCAGAATCACACGGACCTCAATTTGAGTTCTCCTCTGCCACTTAGCTATGGCCTTGGGCAAATCACTTAACCTTCAAGCCTCAATTTTCTCGTGTGTAAAATGGAATTAATGCTATCTACTTCACATGAGGATCAAATGAAATAAAGCATGGGAAACCCTTGGTGACCAGCACCTCCACATAGTGAGTATTTGTTTAACAGACTGGAGCCAATATTTCACGGGAAGGGGCATCCTACAGGGTGGGAGCTCAAGGATTGTTATTTGAGCCTTAAAGGGAAGAGGGACTAGCGAACTTAGGGATGTATGGATTGACAATTTGTTTCCGCAAGCCAGCTTATTTCTATTAGTGGGCTTTGCCCAGGGAGTTGGCACTCAGAGAGGGAAGTTCCTGGCTGAGATGCTGGCGGCCAGGAGCTATGTTTCTGGAGTCCATTGAGTTCTTGGGGGCTGTCCTGTCCTTGTGAAAATTAGAACAGGCTTAACTGTACAAGCAGCACTTCTGACCTTCCTAAACATAGTCATATTCACTTGCTCATTTGATCTTCAGGTGATGCAGTGATATGGGCATGACTTATGATCCCATTTAGCAAGTGGGGAAACTGAGGCTCAGAGAGGTGAAGTATTTAGGTTTTGGGGTTTAGCTGCTGAGAAAGCACCCATGGACTCCCACTCCACCCATCACCATTTCCTGGTTCTTGAATCTTCCCTCTGGTGCCTGGAACAAGATACTAACTGCTCTGTGCCTCAGAGCACCAGCTTCCCTTCCTCCTGCCCAGATGCCTTTCCAGCCTCCTCCAACTCTGTGAGTGTAGTTTCTTTCTTTCTTTTTTTTTTTGTGAGGAAGATCAGCCCTGAGCTAACATCCATGCTAATCCTCCTCTTTTTGCTGAGGAAGACCGGCTCTGAGCTAACATCTATTTCCAATCCCCCTCCCTTTTATTTTTTTATTCTTTTCCCCCACAGCCCCAGTAGATAGTTGTATGTCATAGTTGTACATCCTTCTAGTTGCTGTATGTGGGACGCGGCCTCAGCACGGCCGGAGAAGCAGTGCGTCGGTGCGCGCCCGGGATCCGAACCCGGGCCGCCAGCAGCGGAGCGCGTGCACTTAACCGCGTGCACCACTGGGCTGGCCCTGTGAGTGTAGTTTCTATGTTTCCCCTAGCACCATCAAGTCCCCTGTTGCTGCATTCTCTCTCACTCGCCCATTCAACAAACACTAGTTGAGGACCAAAATATTGTGTGCTGGGGTCTAGTGCTAAGTGCTTGGGGTACAGAAATGAACAAAACGTAGCCCACATCCTTGAGTTCACACACTGGTGGGGAGAAAACGCATCATCAGCTGTTTCCAAAACAGTGTGATGTACAAAGAGATGGAGCATTAGGGTGTCTAGGGATCCCAAAGGAGGATTGCCAAAATTTGTCTGGAGTGTCCTAGTTGGCTTCCTGGAGGTGACAGTTGAGTTTTCCTAAGGATGAGTAAAGTTAGCCAGGATGCGTAGCAGCAGAATCCAGTGGAGGCAGGAGCATGGCAAATTCAGGTTTGTGAGCAGTTTGGGGACAAGCTATGAGAGCTGATGCTGGGGTTCAGCGGGGCCAGACCACACAGGACACTGAGCGTCAGGCTAGGATGCCTGGGCTCTATCTTGTGGACAATGAGGAGCCACATTCAGGCAGATGCTAGGTCAGATTTGTGATTCTACACGGAGGATGTTGGGGACACAAAAGACTGGAGGGAATTACTAGGCTGTGGCAAACAACAAAAATATGAGGACAGGGAGGATGGAGAGGAGGGGATAGATCCTCAAAATATTTAGGAGACAGAATTGATGGGGCCAGTATGCAGATTGGATGCAAGAAGTGGGGGGAGTCAGGGATGATGCTCAGGATTCCAGCTGGGATGATGGGGTCCAGGGTGGACAAGCTGGGGTGGTGGGTGGGACAGGAAATGTTGGTTTCACTGCACAGACAGGGGAACCAAGTCTTAAAGAAGTGGAACACACTCAAATCAGGGACTCAGCACTGGATGTGTCAGTGGGGTTCAGGAGGGCTCCGCAGCCCTTGGGGCTCCAACACAGCCTTCCTTTCTCCTGTGGGGAGGCTGCTAGCTCAGAACCCGCATGCCTAGGCCAGTCCTGAAGCTGAGCTGCTAGTGTTAGAATCTCCTTCCAGTATAACAGAACTTATTCACCTGTTAGGCCCTGGCTTTCTTCTCTGTAAAGTGGGGAGGTTGAGAAATAACAGAAGCAAAAGGCTCTGGTTCATAAGCCTTTGAATCTTGCCAGACTGGCAGGTCCCCACACACGGGCTAGCATCTTGTAGTTTCCTTTGCCAGCTCATCCTTCTCTGTGCCGTCTTTAAATGCTAGTATGTGCCAGGGCTCAATCACAGTCCCCCTTTTCTTCTCAGCTCTCAGTCCCTCCAACAGCACTTCTCAAACGTGAATGTGCACACAAATCTTACATGCCGATCTTGTTAAAATGTAGGTTCTGACTGAGCAGGTCTGGGGATGGGCCTGAGATTCTGCCTCTCTCATAAGCTCCCAGATGATGCTGCTGCTCCACGGGCGACACTTTGAAAAGCCCAACCTCTTGGCTCTACAAACTTTCTCCAAACTAATGATTCCAAAATTCATACTTCCAATCCAGACCTCCCTCCAGAACTCCAACTTCTAATTACAACTCTTAGCTGAGATCTCTATTTGGATATTTAAAGGGCATCTCCCACAGAGTTCTCAAACATGCTCCTCCCCAACTTTTCCCTCAGTACTCAACAGCTCAAGTCAAAAATCTGGAAGACATCTGCGAATCTCCTTTTTCTCTACATCCAAACTGCCAGCAAGTGCTGTCTACCTCCAAAGCATATCCTGACCCTGTCCACTCCCTCCCCATCTCCACTCCCACCACCCTAGTCCAGGCCACCTCATCTCTTGTCTGAGCTACTACAGTAGCCACTGACCTGGTCACCCTGCTTCCTGCTGGCCCTCTCCCCACAGCAATTCTCTACACATTAGTTAGAGCCATCTTTTAAAAATGTAAATGAAATCACGCCATTCTCCTGCTTAATTAAATTCTTTTAGGAGCTTACATCTCACTTAGATCCTTACCCTGGCCTACAAAGCCCAGCATGACTGGCCCCTGCCCTCCTTTCCAACTTCGTCTTGTGCCAACCCCTGGCCCTGACATCACAGCCACATTGGCTTCTCTCTGGACCCTGAGCAGGGCCAGCCTGTTTCCCCCCTGGGGCTTTTGTCCGACTCTGCCCTATGCCTCCCGGTCTTGATCTTTGTCCTGACTCTGTCCTCTGCCTCACGGTCTTTGCTGGCCCCTTCTCATCACTCAGATCTCAGCTTCTGGGTCACCTCCCTCCAGAGGCCTTCCCTGATCACCACATCTCTCATCCCAATTTAACTCTGCATATGTCTTATCAGTGGCTGACCTTGGTTTGTTAATTGTCCATTTCCCCACTAGGAGGTAAGACCCATGAAAACAATGACCTTGTTTTCTGCTTATTTCACCAGTGTCTGGAGCAGGGCCAGAATAAGTACTCAGAAAAATTTATTGTGTGAGGAAATGTCATTCCCTCTCTGAGCTTCAGTTTCCCCATATATAAAACACAGATAATAATATAATAGCATCTACCTCCCAGAGTTGTTAAGATTAAATGAGATACACGTGTAAGGCCCAGGCCCAGTGCCTGGCACTTGGTCACCAGTATGGCTAATAATACCATGACTATTATCAATACCATAATGGAATCCCCTGACAGGAACGTGTGGGCAGGGCCAGCAGGACTCCCACATGCTCCCCAAATGACTGGAGCTCCAAGCAGCTGGGCTAACTGGCCCTAGTCTATTACTTGTCACTGCCACAGCCTTCAACACCCGAAAGCAGAGAGAGGGCAAATTCAGGGATGGAAAGTGGAGGCGAGCGTGCTTCAACTCAACTGTAAGTTTATTAGAAAGGCCATGGACAGATGAACCCTGAGTTACCAGCTGAGGAAGAAATGAAAAAAAGCCCCTGCCCGTCTTGGCCTGCCCCACAGGCCTCCTGTGAGCTCTGTCCTGTGGCAGACTCCAATGGAAGTCAGCCAAAAAGTGCTTTCCGGATCCTCCTCCGGGAGCAGCCCAGCCTGACTGCAGGGGACCCGCTGGTGGGGCCAATGTGGATGCTGGTGCCTGGAGCTGGGAGCCACGGGGTCTTTGTCCTTCCTCCAACAGGAAGTGGTTCCGGGCCTCCCAGCAGAACAGAACGGAAAAGGAGCTGACTGGGGATAGAACAAGTTCGCTAAACAGCCAAGGGCTCTGGAAGGTGATGCTGGACTGCCTCGGAGGTGAGTGCAGATGGCTACAGATGGCCATCGTGGGGGTCCCCAGCATAGGACCAAAGCTGCTCTAAGGAGTCTCAGCCACAGAGAGCCCTAGTGTGACTCACTGCCCCTCCTGGGGCTGCACTGGCTATTTCTGCTCCCAGAAAGGCAAATGGATCTTGTAAAAATCCATGGTGGTTGACGCCATTTTTCCTTAAAAAAAGATAAGAGTTTGTACAGTGAATCGATTTCAACCAGCAGAGCCAGAGCCGAGAAGAGTCCGTCCTGGGGAAGGAAAAGGCACTTCTCACACCCTCACTGGGGTGATCCGGGCTGGCTGCTTCCTGGGCACCTCAGGGCTCCGCTCCCTCTGGCCCTGTGACTCAGGCCTGCTCCCTCTGGGAAGTATGCTGCCTGTATTGAGCTAGCACCGCCCTGCGGCCTGCACACCCTGGCCCCTCACAGGGTGGTGGAGGGCAGCTTCCTCACCCGCCGCTGGGCCAGGATAGACGACTCAATGGGCTTCAGCTGAGGGGTGGGCTTGGAGCTGTTGAGCGCAGAGTATGTAGCTGCCATGGCTCCCTGGGAGAGAAGGTGGGAGGTCAGTTCACAGCGGTGGGAGGACATGTGTTCTAAGGCCAGGCCAGCCCCTCCCAGTGTTCCACAGCCCACCCAGCCCTTGTTAATCCAGCCTTGGTGGTCCTTCAAGGTCATTAGTCCTGCCCCCTCCATCAGACTGGAGGCTTCAGAGGACCCATGAGTGCACTGTTGACACCCTGCATGTTAGACTGGGGCTCCCTAAGGACAAACAGACATGGCATCTCCTGGCTCTGCCACCCAGGGCCCTTGCCCATGGATCCTTGGCCTGGGGACCTGGATGCCCAGCAGCCTGGGGTCGCGTACCTTCACAAGCTGCAGGTCCTGGTGGGATAGCTGGCTCTGGGGAAGCTTGTCTTTCTGGGTGATCCATGGGTGCTGCAGGACCTGCTTAGCTGTGAGGCGCTGGTGGGGGTCCACGTGCAGCATCTTGGACACCAGGTCCTGGGGGCAGAGCAGGTAAGGGGGTTGGTGGGAGGGGCCTGCAGGGGAGCAGACAGCTCTGTCCCACTGATGGGGAGTGGGAAAGGCAACCATCTCCTGCCATCTCCCTTGCAGTAGCCCCTGCTACCCATTCTCCACACCACTCCAGGGCCTCCCCGAGCACACGCCCTTCTTTGGGACTTCATTCTGGAGTGCCCTTTCCTTTCTCTTTCACTTTCCAGAAGCCATGTAGGAAGGTGGGAAAAACCTAAGGTTGTGGTTGGGCAGATTCAGGTTCAATACTTGACTATTCTGCTCATCAACTGAGAATCCTAGGTAAGTTACTTCAACTCTCTGAGCCTCAGTGTCTCCTCTGAGAAACAGGGACAACAGCAATACCTGCCTCCTAAGGCTGACATGAGGTGGTACTGTTCATTAAGGGCTCAACCCAGTGTCTGGCACAGAGGTTCTCATAACTAGAACAAATGTTCTCTCCTCTGAGAAGGCCTGTCTGCTTGGTGTGGTCAGTAGCTCTGCTCCATGCCTCCACTGCCCATACCCCTGGACAGGAGGATCCACCTCTCTCTGCTGCCTGGCATCTCTGTTCCTTGTGTGCAAGCCTGTACCTCCCCCCATACTAAGTTCCCACAAGGCAAGAGCTGTGATTATGCAGCCCTCTGTCCCCCACAGGACCCAGAACACAGGAAGAGCCAGTGAATGATTGCCAAGTTGTCCAAACAAGGTGGGGGGGGCGGGGGACAGTCTGCCTGCGAATATTCCACTTGGAGAAACATAGCAACATTCCACTTGGAGAAACAAGGCTGCAGGTCACCTCTTCGTGAACTGCTGAAAAGCCCTGGAATGGGACCCTGCCTCCCCACCCTCAAATGAGCCAAGTCCAGGCCTCACAGACTCACTTTGGCTGTCTCTGAAACTGTGTTCCAATTTCCCCCGCTGAGGGTGAACTTTCCACTGCCGATCCGGGTTAGGATTTCCTCTGGTGTGTCACTGGGTCCGTTGGCAAATGGAGTGTATCTGGAGAAAAGTCCACCCAGTCTGGGTATATAGCCTCTGGCCTCCATCCTGGGGCTAGGGGTGGGGTGGGGGGCCGTGTCGCCCCCTTCAGACTGGGTGCTCCCAAGGGCAGCATCTTCCTCCTCAAGGTAGAGTTCCCAAAGGCAGTGCCATGTCCCTATCTTCAGACTTTTCTGAGGCAGGGCTGAGTCTCTCCCATCAGACAAGCACCTCCACAGCCTGTACGCTAGGGCTGGAGGCATGGGCGGGGCGTTGGGCGGGGTGCAGGCTAGTGGGGCACTCACCCCGCCAGCATGGTGTACAGCAGAATGCCCAGGCTCCAGATGTCACAGCCTTCATCGTAGCCCTGGCGCTTCAGCACCTGGCAGGAAGGAAGGCAGGAGAGGGTGGTCAGTCTGAGGGGCAGTGGTAAGTGGCCCCATATGCTTGCCTGCTACTCCCCAAAGGGTAGGACAAAGGTCCCGGCCATGGGCTGGATCCTCCTTGGTGGCCTCCCAAGGCCACACAGACTGGAGTCCTGGACAGCGTGGGGACTCTGGAAGGGGACAGGCCTCCTGTGCCGGGCCCCCTCACTCTCACAGCTGATGAGCCTTGGCCACTCACCTCGGGTGCCACGAAGTTGGCAGTGTAGCAAGGTGTCATGAGGAGCCCGTTCTCAGCCCGCAGCTGCTTGGCGAAGCCGAAGTCGCAGATGCGCAGGCACTCGGGGTTCCCAGACTCGTCCACATACAGGATGTTGCTGGGCTTGAGGTCCCTATGCACAACCTGGGGGCAGAGGGCTCAGATCAGCTCTCAGGGTGGGCAGACTGCTAGTGGCCCAGGTCAACCGCCAGGGATAGAAGAGTTAGGAAGACAGGCCCAGAGAGAGGGACAGAAGGACCCAGAATCTGGAAGGAGGGGAAGGGGCTGAAATGGGGCCCTTAGTGCTGCTGGTACTGCCAACTTGAAATCTCTATATCAATGTCTACGAGGCAGCTGTAACTTCACCTGTCCACACTGAACTCCTTATTTCTCCCCTCAAATCTGCTCATTGCACGATCTTACCTAGTAGCAACTCCATCCTCCCCATTGCTTCGATCATTCTCAATTCTTCTTTTTTTCTCATATTCCTCAATCAATCCATAAGCAAACTCTGCTGGATCTACCATTATTTTTTTTTTTAATTTATATTTATTTATTTTTCCCCCAAAGCCCCAGTAGATAGTTGTATGTCATAGCTGCACATCCTTCTAGTTGCTGTATGTGGGACGCGGCCTCAGCATGGCCGGAGAAGCGGTGCGTCGGTGCACGCCCGGGATCCGAACCCGGGCCGCCGGCAGCAGAGCGCGCGCACTTAACCGCTAAGCCACAGCGCCGGCCCTGGCTCTACCATTAAAATACATCCAGAGCCCAACCACTTCTCAGCCCCTCTACTGGCAGCACTCTGATCCCAGCCACCACCATCCCTCCCCTGGATTTCAGCAACCACCTCCTAACTGGTCTCCCTGCTTCTACCCTAGCCTCCTACAGTCTGCTCTAACCAGAGCAGCTGGAAAAATCCTGTTAAATATAAGTCAGATCATGTCATCCCAGCTCGAAACCTTCTAAGCCTTCCCCTCTCAAGAGGAAAAGTCCTTACAATGGCCTCCGTGGCCCCACCTGCTCTCTCCCCTGCCCCTCACCCACATCTCTCACACTCTCTAGTCCTCTAGCCCTCTCCTTGCTCAGTTAGCTTCAGCCAAACCAGCCTCTTTGCTCTTCCTTCAACATGCCAAGCACACTCCTGCCTCAGGGCCTTGTACTTGCTGTTCCCTCTTTCTGGAATACTCTTCCCTCAAGCATCTGCCTGGCTCATTCTGTTGTTTTTTTCAGGTCTCAGTTCAAATGTCACCTAATCAGTGAGGCTTTCCCTGGACCATTCCAAACAAAAAAGCAATCACCAACCAGTACATTCACCAACCATAGCATTTTCCACCCTTTGACATAATATTTACTTGATTGTTTTCTGAATGCACCCACTGGAATGTAAGCGCCATGAGTGTCTTGCTCACTGCTGTATCCCAGCATTTAGCATGGTTCTGAGCACATAGTAGGTATTCAATAAATATCTGTTGAATGAATGGATGAATGACACTCACTATGAGGCCTTAAGCAAATGACTTTCCTCTGGCCCCCATTTGCTCACATCTGTAACCTGAGGGGGCTGAACCGGTCCACTTTTCATCCTCCCTTGCTCCCTCTCTATGGTTCTATTCATAGTCACTCCTCTATCACCTAATTATCCACTACTCTCAGATCTCTGACCCTAGCCCAGAACTTTCCTGAGTCCAGGCTCATATAGCTGCTTACCAGATGGCAACCACTGATTGTTCCACAGACCCTCAAACCCAACGCGTCCCAGACTAAACTTGTTCTCACCTTCCTACTCCTCCTTCCATGAGCTAATGGTACTTTCTTGGGGACTGCCAAAAACCTTCAACGGCTCCCTACGGCCTGCAAGATAAAGCCCAAAGTCCCCATCCTGGTGTGGGAGGCTCAGCTACCCATTCCAGCCGCATGGTCCACCACATCCCCTCAAGTGCCCTGAGCTCAGGCCAATGGGGGCTCCTTTGGCCATAAATAACTGTATCTCTCTGTGGAATGCCTGCTCACCTCCAGCATCCAGCACAGGGCCTAGCACAGAGGACTTTGTGCAAGGAATGAATGAATCACACCTCTGAAACATGTAAAGACCTTTCAGGTTAGATTAGTTGAGTCTCACAGATTAGCTGGCTTTATGAGGTGGTCCTTTCATAGTTCCAGGTGACTGGGCCCTCCAGCAGGTGCCCACGAGGTGGGGAGATTGGAGGGGAGACATGGCCCAGGACAGTCCACCTCTACAGAGGGAAGAGTGCCAGGTAGATGAGGAGGGAAGGGTGACACTGGCAGGGTGGTCCCAGCGACACACTGCAATTGTATCCAAGCCCTGGGGAAGCCCCTTCCTGGGCAGTATCTGCCTAGCTCCTTGGGCTCTCTCCTTTATAATACAATCATATGGCCCAGAGGACAAGCCCAGGCCCTCGAGAATGTACACTGTTCTCTCTTCCCTGCAGAGGGCCCAGCCAAGCTTCCCAGGGGTCAGGGATGCTCAGCCTGGCTGAGGACACCAACTACCTAGTACTAATGATCTTCCTGGTTTACAAAGTACTTTCCAGGCCATGGTCTCACTGGGGTTGCCCCTTATACCTCGGTAAGTGGGCAGGGCAGAGATTGTTGGCTCCATTATATAGAGAAGGAAACTGAGGCTATGAGAGGAGAATTCACTTGCTTGTGTAAGTAACAAGCAGAGGTGAGACTTGAAACCCAGATCTGACCTTAATTGCACGGTCTTTCCAGGTTAGGGTGGCACCGATGATACTTTTGGGAAACAGGGATATGGGAGTTTTCCATCTTTATCCTGCCCTATCACAACATAAACAAACTCCTACAGGTAACTGCGGCTCACCATGGAAGGCAGCCCCACAGGTGATCTTGATACCTGCTCCTCAGGTGTACGTGTGGGTGGGGCACATAGTCTCACATCTCACTGCACTGAAAAGCGCAACAGGCTGGGCAAGCAATGAGCGAAGCCAGGCTGGGAGGGAGCCATGCCAACCAGTCTAAAGGGGCAGCTGCCACTTACTCCAGCTGACAGTCAACATGTAGCAGCTCAGGCCCAGGTTTCAAAAGTGGCCAAATTACCAAACCAAACCAAACCCAAAACAAAAACACCCCACGTCTTGCAGGCCAAACAAAATATGTGTGCAGGCCAAATGCAGCCACTGAATCAATAGGCCATGGCCTCTGGCACAGTTGTGATTTCAGTGGGAAGTCAGACAGGCCAGAGTGTGGATCCTGGCTTTACCGGCAGTAGCTGTGTGATCTTGGGCAGGCCACTTAACCTCTAGCCCTTGGTTTTCTCACCTGTAAAATGGGGCTGATAATAGTGCTCAGCTTCCAGGGCTGCAGGAAGCAGCATATGAGTTATGTACCAAGAATATTTAGCAGAGGGCTTGGAAATGGCAGCTGCTGTCATAGTAACTCCAGCTCTCCCTGGGGCTCAACCCTACCATCACGCTGGATGTTAAGATACAGTGAGTGCCTGTTAAGAGCACTTAAAAATGAGAGGACAAGGACAGGAAAATTAGAGGACAGATGCTGTCCCAAGCAGCACCTGATCACACATAATTCAGCAGCACAGACTCTGGAGCCAGATTAGCTACGAGACTTTTACTTACGCTCCCAGTGCCTCAGTCCCCTCGCTTGGGAAATAGGCATAACGATACCTTCTTCATAGGTCTGTTGGAACAATTAAATGAGTTGATATGCAAAGTGCTTAGAACTCTGTCTGGCCTGTGGAAAGTGCTGTGGTGCTAGCTGCCATTAGCAGCCCCAGCAGCTCTGTTATCATCAGCATCATCAGACGATGTGCATTTAGGCGCCTGCGACCAGACAAAAAAAAAAAAAAAGATGAAATTCTGCTATGAAATACATCTGGTTAAGAGAGAAGCCAAGGGGCCGGCCCTGTGGCTTGGTGGTTAAGTGCGCGCGCTGCGATGCTGGTGGCCCGGGTTCGGATCCCGGGTGCGCATCGAGGCACCACTTCTCCGTTCATCCTGAGGCCGAGTCCCACATACAGCAGCTAGAAGGATGTGCAGCTACGACACACAACTATCCACTGGGGCTTTGGGGGGAAAAATAAAATAAAATAAAAAAAAAAAAAAAAAAGAGAGAAGCCGAAGTGTGACTCTCGATTGAGTTCTCAAACAGGCTGTCCCTGGCATGCTGGGGCTTTTATAGAAACATGAGGGAAGCCAGAAACTTAAAAGGGCTCTGCATATTAAACATAGAACTCTTGCAAAATAAGATGAAAAAGGCAGACAACCCAATTTTTAAAAATGGACAAGAGACTCAAACAGGTATTTTATAAAACAGGGTATCCAAATGGCAATAAACACATGAAGAGGTGCTCAACTTCATTAATCATCAGGGAAATGCACATTAAAACCGCTATGAGGGGCCGGCCCCGTGGCTTAGCGGTTAAGTGCGCGCTCTGCTGCTGGCAGCCCGGGTTCGGATCCTGGGCGCGCACCGACGCACCGCTTCTCCGGCCATGCTGAGGCCGCGTCCCACATACAGCAACTATGAAGGATGTGCAGCTGTGACATACAACTATCTACTGGGGCTTTGGGGGGAAAAAAAAAATTAAAACCACTACGAGATACCATTCCACATCTACCAGAATGGCTATGATTAAAAAGACAGAAAATAGGGGCCGGCCCAGTGGCGTAGTGGTTGGGTTTGCGCCTTCTGCTTCAGTGGCCCAGGGTTCGCTGGTTTGAATCCCGGGCGCAGACTACGCACCACTCATCAAGCCATGCTGTGGCAGCATCCCACATACAAAAAATAGAGGAAGATTGGCACAGATGTTAGCTCAGAGGCAGTCTTCCTCAGCAAAAAGGGGAAGATTGGCAACAGATGTTAGCTCAGGGCCAATCTTCTTCACCAAAAAAAAAGACGACGGAAAATACCAAGTGTTGGCAAGTACCAGAACTCTCGTATGCTTCTGGTGGGAGTGTAAATTAGTAAAACAACTTTGGAAAACTGTTTGGCAACATCTGCTAAAGATGAACAGATGCATACACTATGACCCAGCAATTCCACGGCTAAGGATACATTCAACGTTAAAATGTACATCTGATCACCAAAAGACAAGTACTAGAATGTCACAGCAGCATTATTTGTCATAGTCAAAAACTGCTAACAACCCCATGTCCATTAACAGTAGAATGGGCAATTAAATCGTGGTCTGTTCATACAGTAGAAACTACACAGCAATGAGAATGAATGAACTGCAGCCACACAACAATGTGGATGAATCTCAGAGAGAATGTTGAGTGGCAGAAGCCAGATATAAAAGGGTATGTTTACGGGCAAAACTAATCTAAGCTGTTAGAAGTTAGCTTAGAATGGTTATCCCTGGGGAGGGGGCAGGGCCTGGAAGGGGCACAAGGGGATTTAGGGGAACTGGAAATTCTTCGCTTCTGGATCTGGGTGCTGGTTACGTGGGTGTATTCACTTTTTGAAAATTTATTGACTTGTACATTATGATTTGTGTTTATGCAATACTTCAATAATAAGATAACATTAAAACAAATAGGAGGTCCCAGTGGACCCTGTTCCTGGTTACCCCCTTCCCATCCCTCAGCTCTTATGATATCTCCAGCTTCTAGACCACAGACACTGCCAACATGTAATCAGCCCAGAGAGTCTCCCTCCAAATACCTCAGCAAGAGGAGCTTCCCATTTCCTCATCATCTTCCCTGGGTATTTGGAAAGGGCCAGAAACTTTGGAGACCCATAGACTCCTGGCTTTGGGAAAGAGACAATTTTCTCCCCTAACACCCCCACCAAGTGGCTGTCTGTACTTGGAGCTTGCATATCCCTAGTGGAGGAGACTCACTACTTTTGGAGGCAGCTCCCAGTCTAGAAAGTCCTTCCTTGCTCTGAGCTTTAGGTAACCCACTAGAAACTCACTGCTTCGGCTCTGTCTTCCAAACCTTCTTGGGGGTAACTTTAGTACTCACTTGAGAACAAAAAGGGAAAAGGAAACACATTCACTATCTTACTTCACATACTTAAATATTAGTCTGTTTGCTTTGGCCATTTCAGAAACCAAAACCACTTCAAACATGACCATTAACAGTACATGTGGTAATCAAATTGAAGCTCCAGTTATGAGGTAAAGTTCTTTTTTACAAAAGAATCCCCCCTAATCAATTAGACATCAGACATTGCTATTTTTGCAAACCCTAATGAAATATTTAATTCAGGCAAAGCTCCTAAAAGGATGAAAGCACGATGTGAAAAGTTGGTGAGGATCTTGACAACACACCCTCAGGCCCACCCACCACCACCTGCCACTGTTCACCCATCCCTAGACTGTTACCACCTGACATGACCAATGACTAATGGGGGCAACATGACACTGTGCTCGCAGACACAATGCCATATGAAGTACACTGCACCTCCCATGAGGTATTTTTAACTCCTTGCTCCTAAAAAGAAGTTGAAGCTGAACCCAGTAAGACTTCAGAACACCTTGCAGTATACAGGAAACATAGGCAATGAAGGAACAAACTGATGTCATGAGGGAGCAAACAGACACATCCAGAAGGCAGGACATTCCACAGAACTGATCTCTTCAACAAGTCAGTGGCATAAAAAGGGGAGGTTATCCTCTGGAGGTTACATGGATGTACACATTTAACAAAACTCACTGAATTGTACACTTAAGATCTACTGTATGCAGATTTTATCTCAGTTTTAGAAAAGAGACTTAAGGAATGTAACAAGTGAGTGAAGGTAGGGACTTTGCAGAGATTGTGATTCCAATAAACCAATTGCAAAAAGATATTTTTTGAAAGGACAATAGGGGGAATGTATCTATTGACTGGGTATTATATGAAAGTAGGTAATTGTTAATTTTGTTAGTTGTTACGAAAGAAAATGTTTGCCTTTTTTAGTCATAGATATACAACTAAGATGATGTGAGGTCTAAGAGATGCTTTAAAATACTTTAATTATAGGTATTTAATGGGTTAAGGGTCATAATGTCTGCAACTTCCTTTCAAATGCACTCGTAAAAAATATATCTTTATATATAGAGAGAGACAAAGACAAAAAGAGACAGAAAGAGAGAGAGAGAAAGCAAATGTGGCAGACTGTTAAGATTTGGTGAATCTAGAAGGGAAACGGTTTTCATTGTAGTATTCTTTTAACTTTTCTATGGGTTTGAACTTTTTTCCGCAACAAAAAGTTGTGAAAAATACTTTAGCAACAACAAAAAAGAAAGGAAGGAAGGAAGGAAGAGAGGAAGGGAGGGAGGAAGGAAGGAAGGAAGGAAAAATCTTCACAATTCTTCAATCTGGGTGATGGGTATCTGGGGGTTCATTATACTATTTTTTTAGTTTTGTAAATGTTTGAGAATTTTCATAATAAAAAATTAATTTAAAAAAAGGCACAGCAATGAGGGGGTCCAATGTCCCCCTAACATTTATGTGGCATTTTCCACAGGCCTGCATTGGGCCATGGAGCTTTCCCAGCACAGCACCTCACTTCACCCCATGTCTGCCCTGTAAGGCAGCAGCTCTTGTTACTGTGAGTTCGCAGATGAGGAAACGGCTCAGAGAGGGGAGAGGCTTTCCCAACCTCACACACAGGACTTGGACACAGACAGTTGGATTCTAGAGCCCGTATTCTTCACCCCGACACTGTCTGACTGGAAGCACGCTACAGCATCGTCTCGTCCAGAGAGAAACTCCTGCTAACTCTGCCTTTGGCTTCGATAGACTACAGGGAACTTTTCTCCCTCCGCCTCGTGTAATGATAAAGGCCAAGTCCTATGGTTTGGATCTATACATCTTCTGTAGCACCTGCTGTGTTCGAGCATCATTTCCTCCTGCATCCACTTCCTCTGTCCTAGCAGCCGAACCCACGGCCAGATTCAGCTCCCTGAAGCCCTGCAGCTCCCCACAGTGACCCTGCTGCTGCCTAGCTCAAAAACTCACTCCCCGTCTGCAGCTCCCTACTTGAATTCCTCAGTCAGACATTCTGGCCTCATTCTTCCCTGGCTGTGTGGCCTTGGGCAAGAAGTGACCTCACATCTCTGAGCCTCAGTGTCCTTACCTGTAAAGTGGGGCCAATAACAAGACCTACCTCACAGGGTTGTTGTGAAAATCAATTGAGATAATCTAAGGAAAGAACTTAGCATGGTGCCTGGCACATAGTAGGTACTGAATAAATATTCCTTTTCACAATTTGGCCTCATGTCTCCCTTCCTCCCTTCCTTATATCCATCCACTCGCCTGTCACCCATCCCTAGTTTCCCCTCTGTCTGGCTGGTTGACGACTGCCATTGCCTGAGCCAACCCACGGTTCATGCACTCGGCTGATGGTATGACCCTTTACAGCCCCGCATCCCCATTTGGTGCCTGCTACCCCAGACTTACCCCCTGGGAGTGCAGATACTCCACTGTCTTGCTGATGGTGTGCAGGACAAAGCTGGCTTCCCGCTCCGAGAAGAATTTCTGCCGCAGGATCTTGTCCAGCAGCTCCCCGCCCCGCATCAGCTCTGTCACCAGGTACACGTGTTTGCCATCATCATACACCTGCCAGAGACCTCACCATCAGGCCCCTCCCCTCAATGCCAGGCCTGGGCCCCTTGGTCACCAGCTCACCAGGCCAGGAAGAATGACACAAATCTTGGGCATATGTTCTGCTCTGTGCTTCAGTGGCCTTGGCAGGGCCTTCACCTATCTGGCCCCTGTCCTCCCTGGATGGAGGATGCTGGCACTGGTCCCCTCATGGGCAGGAAAGTTCTCAGGGAATGCCTGAGTCTGAAGTGGAGGGCTCTTGGGTGAAGCCAAACCAGAGGCCCTAAGGGTCCGCCTCCTCCCATGAGCAGAGGAGGATCCAGTCAAAAGAATGTCAGCCCCGAGACAAATCCTAGAGTCGATGCCCCAGTCCCCATCCCCATCTCAAGGACCCCCACTCACATCTTTCAGAGTGATGATGTTGGGGTGCTGCCCGTACCGCAGAAGAATCTCGATCTCTTCTGAGGGATCCCGCTTGCTCTTGTCGATGACCTGAGGAAAGGGGGTGCATGTGGCAGTATCAGTGGATAGTCTCCAGAGCCCCTCTCTGCCACAGAGCCCACACTGCAGGGCCTGGGGGTCTCAGCCACACACCTTTCACCCATCCACAGAGCCTCAGGCACCAACCCTCCCCCACCAAACAGCCAAGGCTACAATGGCCTCCCCCCAAGCCCAGCAGCCTAGGATGAGAGAGAGTCAGGAGGCCCACCTTGACAGCATACTCCATGTTGGTGGCCTTGTGGACACAGCGCTTACACACGGAGTAGGAGCCCACACCAATCGTCTCCTTTACCAAGTAGCCGTCACTAAAAACCAGGTTCTTCCCGTGGAGTTGCTGCAGGAGACCAAGAGGTAGGGCTGACCTTCTGCTCTAGAATGCAGAGGTCATCCCCCAGCACCCAGGACCTTGGCTCAGTGAAGATGGCACCAGAAAAGAGTCAGGAGGCCTTGGGGCCAGCCTGGTGGCGTAGTGGTTAGGTGTGCACACTCCACTGCGGTGGCCCGGGGTTTGGATCCCGGGCGCACACCAACGCACCGCTTGTCAAGCCATGCTATGGTGGCGTCCCATATAAAGTGGAGGAAGATGGGCACGGATGTCAGCCCAGGGCCAGTCTTCCTCAGCAAAAAGAGGAGGATAGGCGACAGATGTTAGCTCAGGGCTCATCTTCCTCACAAAATAAAAATAAAAAAATAAAACCCTCAAAAAAAAAAAAAAAAAGAGAGACAGGACGCCTGCGACAGAATGTTGGCTGGGTGACCTTGGGCAAGAATCTGCCCCTCTCTGGGCCTCAGTTTTCTACTCTATATGATGGGCACACTCGCCAGATCCCAGCCAGGTCAGGGGGTGGTGGAGGGGGCAGGCAACAGAGCTGCAACACACACATCAAGAGGTTTGTGGCTCTGAGAAGCGTGGGTAGGCCTGAGAGGGATGCAGGAGCCCTGAGCTGGGTCCCAGCTCTGCCACTGACTGTGGCCCTGGGCAAGTTGCCTCCCCTTTCCGGGGTGTCACAGCCCACCTCCTGAGGTATCTCAAGGTTCCGAGACATTAACAATAGCAAATGGCTTCTGTGGTGCTTAGTGTGTGGCAGGCACTATTCTGAGCACTTTTCATCAGGTGACCACACACCCCATGGACAGCCCGGGCTTACACCTGCTGTCCTCGCATTCAGTCTGGTTTAACATTTGTCCTGGAAAAGATGTCCCGGTTGGATAATAAATTACATAGTCACCTTAACTTTACACATCTTAACTCACGTAATCCTCACAACAAACCTATGGAGAAAGGTTCTACATCACCCCCGTTTACAGACGAGGAAACTGAGGCACTGGGAAGGTAGGTGTCTCATCCAAAGTCCCTTACCTTGGAAGCTCTGAACCCAGGCAATGAGCTCCAGAGTCTACATTCTTGCCTCTCAATTTTAAACTTCCCATGGAGCCGGGAAAGTGTACAAATGGGAGACGTGTCAGAAGACACAAGCCCCCTGCCACCCATCCCCGTCAGGGACTTGACAGCCACCCCTGGGCACCCCCGTGCATTCATCCAGGCTCTGCAATGTCCCTGGCTCTGTGCCGGGAAATTTATATCTGTGTTGTCATCCCTGTTTTACAAATGGGGAAACTGAGGCTCAAGGAGGTTTGGAGGCCCAACGGGCTTACACAGTGGCAATCAGGGTTTGAACCCAGGCCTGTACAACTCCAGAGCCTGTGTTCTCAGCCGCTCTGCCTTGTGGCTTCTAGATGGAAAAGGACAACTGAGCAGCAGTCTCCTGCCCCTCACCTGTACCACCGAGTGCAGTGGAGCCTGCGTGCTCCGAGGCTTGCCGTCGTCCTCCATCAGGCCAGTGGCCACGAAGCTGAAGCCACGGAACAGCTGATGGGCCCCAGCGCTGGGGGGGATGCCCGGGGAGTCTGCAGGGGCGGGAGGGGGATGTGAGCATGAGGAGGCACCCTTGACCCTGGGGCAACGCAGCAAAGGGAGACCATGGGGCGTCCAGGCCTGCCTCAGCAGCTGGCCGTGGCGGGAGCTTGGTCAGGGCCCTCATTCCAGCCCTCATCTGTTCATGTATGTTTCGACCAGCCCAGCCCTGACACACAAGGAACAGAAAAGACCCCTACATCTGGCATCCAGCGCAGGCCAAGGCACTTCATCCCTTCCTGGAGGCCTCCTTCCCGGCCTCCCTGCCTCAGGTCTGCCCCTTCAGGTTCATCTTCTGCACAGCAGCTAGAGGGATGGTTCCAACCACAAATCTACCCCATGTCCGTACCCCTCAAATGCTCCCCTCTGCCCTCAGGAGAAAGCCCTGGCAATTGAGGTCCTTGTGATCTTAGCCTCCTCTTTCCCCACTCCACAGCTCAGCCATGCTGGACTTCTCAGATGCTTAAAGGAGACTCTGAGCCACTGTACATGCGGTTCCCTCTAATTAGATAATCCACTCCTTGTCCATCCTTTGAGGCTCAGCTTACACGCTCTCTCCTTTGAGAAGCCTTGACTGAGGCTGCTCCTCCAGCCCCTCGCCCCTATTTTTTTTTTTTTTTTTTTAAAATTTTTTTTTTTTTTTTTTTTTTAAAGATTTTATTTATTTTATTTTTCCCAAAGCCCCAGTGGATAGTTGTGTGTCGTAGCTGCACATCCTTCTAGTTGTTGTATGTGGGACTCGGCCTCAGGATGAACGGAGAAGTGGTGCCTCGATGCGCACCCGGGATCCGAACCCGGGCCACCAGCATCGCAGCGCGCGCACTCAACCACCAAGCCACAGGGCCGGCCCTCCCTCGCCCCTATTAATGCACTTGTCACACTACCCAGTAGCTGTTTTCATATCTCTGCCCCAACTACAGCCTGAGCCATATGAAGGCAGAGCCTGGGTCTGTCTTGTTCACCATCAATGCCCCCATGACTGACACACAGTAGGGACCTGGTACATATTTGTCAGATAAATGAATACAGATGGGACAAAGTGCTCGAACAAGTGCTAAGCTTCCTGTCATCAAGGATATGCAAGCCACAGTGAGAAAAACACTCCCTCTGCTAAAACCTGCCCCTCCAGGAGGCCTTCCAGAACTAACATTTCCTCCCAATATCTGGCTAAAATGCTAGGATTTACCAAGCTTCCTCTCAGAAGGAAGGAAGCTTACTAACCCCAGGGACTGAGTGGGTCTGTGGCTGAGCCCATGTTCCAGATGAGTACACTGAGGCCCAGCGGTCAGCGTAGCCAAAGCTGATTCCCACACTTGCCCCTGACCTGTGGGCGCTGTCACCTCTGCTCTGCCAGACCGTCTCCACCTCGCGTTTTTGCTGGGTCAGATTCTTTAGCCCTGACGTGAGTGTGAGCCTCCTGTGTTTGGTCTTCCCAGTGGGCTGGAAGATGCCTGAGGGTCTTGACTTTTCTATTATGGCCTTAACCACCCACTTAGCCCCACCCCCTCACCCAGACACAAAGAGGCCCATAGAGCCCTGGAGTGGGAGAGTGAGGCAGAATGAGACAGGGACAAAAAGTCAGAGACCCACTCGCCTGTCTGCCCACACACCTGGGCCTGCAAGCCCCTGACCACCCCTAGGTCCCAAGGTGCCCTCGACTCCCCGCTTCCCTCCTATACCAGTCCAAGACAAACCAGACAAGGGACACACCCTTGGGTGTGCGGGACGTGAACTCAGTGTCAAAGTAGAAGGTGTCATCGGGTTGTGCCACGGCCGGCTTGAAGGGTGGCTTGATCTCACGACGGTACAGCTTCTGCAAGGCAGGGTGGGCACTCTGGTCACCACGGCAGCCCCAGAGACCACCAGGAGCCCCATGCAGGAGGAGGTAATGGGCCTGGGGCACAGGCTACACAGACGGGGGCATAATTGCTTGCCCTCGGGAGGCCAGCCCTTGCCTCCAAGGCCGTGCTGTCACCCTCTGCCCCACAGCGGAGGCCACAGTTGGTAGAAGTCCTCTCCCATCACAGCTGAAGCCCTGACTGGGGCCCTGGGGTGGACAGCCGCACTCACATTCCAGTCAATGGTGGAGTAGAAGACATGCCGCTTGATTTCCTCTGCCCCATCAGGGCCGGAGCCTGAAAGAGCCCAGATGACGGGTCTGCCTCAAACAGTCCAACCCCCAGACACCCGCCCTGTCCACCAAGTGGCCTCACTGTGGTCTGGGACCAGTGGCTAGAGCAGTTCACTGGGAGCATGGGGGAGACGGGCTCACCCTGCCCCAAATCCACCCAGCCATCACCCCAAGGCTTATTGCCCACTCAGCGTTTTCCCCTCTCCGGAGCCCCTTATGATCAAGCTCCAGCATACTAATGAGAGAAGGAAGGCGCACAGAGGTTAGGCAACTTGTCCAAGGCCATGTAGTCAGGACAGATGCTGGACTTATTCTGAGATCTGCAGAGGGCCCCCACCTCCCTCCCAACCCAAGCCTCATCTCTGTTGCTCTTATCCCACTGTCCTGGTCAGCCAGACAGGCTCTCACTCCATTCAATCCCAGGGACTTGGACTGGACCTTACAAAGCCAGCCACGGTCCCAGGGAACCCAGGAGCCAAGGAGCCAACACATACTGAGCAGCTACTACACCCCAGGCGCATTCATGTGACTTCATTTAATCAACAGGGCTGAGATCATCGTCTCCCATGGAGATAAGGAGCCAGGGCTCGGGAGATGAAGAACTGCCTTGGTTCACTCAGCTCATAAATGGCACTCATTCGTTCAATAAATATTTATGGAGGGACCACTGTGTGCTGGGCAGTAGGGACCTGACACAGGGCTAGGATTGAGACCTGAGCCTCTGACTTCTGAGTTCATGCTCTTTCTCTTGTGCCAGCAGGCTTGGCAGAGGAGCTGTGTGGGGGCCTCTGTCCTTGTCCCCAGGGGAGTAGGGATGACTCAGTTCCTGCCTTCCCCCTACACACAGGTCACCCCCCTGCCCCAAACACCACACATGGAGCCAGAAAGCAGGGTAGCCAGCGGCATTGTCTGCCCACACCAAGGACAACAGCCCCTTTCAGTCCCAGATGTGGCCCTGTGGCCTAGGCTGCAGCTGTACCCTGCTCCCCTCCCCTGAACTGGGGCTGCTTACCGAGCCGGTTGGCAGGATTCCGCTTGAACAGGGCCCGCAGGAGGCTCTGGGCTTCTGTGCTCAGAAACTGGGGCATGCCTAGCTTCGCCCTGAAACAGCCCCCGGCTCTCATCAGGGCTGAGCCCCGCCCCAGAGGCCCTGTCTCCCTCCCCGCTCTGTCCAGGTCTAGTTTCCAGCTCAGTCCAGACAAGCCATCCACTAACGTACCTCCCAAAGACTTCAGGGATTCCCCTCCCAGAGGCTCTGGTGGATGAAAAGGGGGCCCCAGAAAGCATAATGCTTAACCCAGAAGACGGTCTCATTAATGGGGGAATCAGTGGCAGGTACAGAGTATTACTCGGGCCCCCAGACTGGGGCTAGGTGTTGGGGGAGACCCTAAGGTGTCAGAGAGGGGCTGGTGCTTACTTCAGAATCAATGTCATGGTCTCCTTCCGGTCCTTGCCCTGGAAGGGCAGGGAGCCCGTCAGCATCTCAAACTGCAGAGGACAAGGGTCTATTCAGGCTTTCATCCCTGTCTCCCACGCCCCCCACCTCCTCCCATCCAGGCTACTCAGCTCCGTTCCCAGGATTCTTGCTGGCCTGTTGGAGGTCTACCTGGATCAAGAATTCTGTCTGTCCCTCACCCCTCTGTCAATCAGACCACCAGGAGCAGTACTAGGGGTCCAAGCCTGGGGAGAGGTCCAGTCCCAGACTGGGGGCACCTGAGGTGGGGCCAAGCCCGGAATCCTTCCAAGGAAGGAAACTACAGCTGGGTGGAGGGTGAGGCAAGCTTGGCTGTGAAAGGACAGAAGGAGAGCCTTAGAAACCATCAACCCCCTCATTGTACAGATAGGGAAACTGAGGCCTGAGGCCTGGGCTGGATGCTTTACTCCTGCCTGGACACTCACCATCAACACCCCATAGGACCACCAGTCAGCACTGTGGGTGTGGCCCTGGCGGTTGACAACCTCGGGGGCCATGTACTCCACTGTCCCGCAGAAGGAATAGGCCTTCTTCTCGTGGTCAATGGCCTCCTTGCTCAGGCCGAAGTCTGCAGCAAGGAGAGCAAGAGGACACATCTTCAGGACCTCCTGCCTTCCTTGCTGCCACCCCCTGCCCAGAGGCCTGAAGGCATCACTCCCATGACACTCAGGAGAAAGCTGAGGCCCAACAAGGTTAGGTGATTTGCCCAGAGTTACACAGTGGGAGGTGGGGTTCAAACCCAGGCTATTCCAAGTCTGGGGCCTGCGCTTCTGACCACATCCAAGTACCTGGCACACCCTCTCAGGAAGAATGGATCCCCTAGCACTGGGCCCAGGACCATCAAGAGCCTGTCCTGCCTTCCCCTGGGACCCAAGGGGGCAGATGCCCTCCACTCACCAGTGAGTTTGATGTGGCCCTCCTCATCTAGAAGGATGCTGTAATGGAGAAATGGGAGTCAGGGCCCCTCAGCTGTAGCTCCTTGGTGGGTTCTGGTGACACCATGGGGGCTATGGGAGTTGGGCCCAGCCCAGAGAAGGTGATCTACCCAGATCCATCTGATGAATGGGTGGATGGAGGGGGTGGTGGCAGTGCCAGGCAGGTGTGTTGCCTACCTTCTTTGCTAATCCTTGAAGCAACTGTGTGGGGTAGGTACTATTATGGCCCCATTTTCACAATGGAGAAACTAAGGCTTGGGGAGCTTGAGTAACTCTCCATGGTCACAGAGCTAATAGATGGTAGAGACAAGATTTGAATTCGAGTCTGCCTAACTCTAAAGCCAGATCTCATTCTACCTCAGCACCTGCTCCTGGCTCCCTAGTTACCATGTGTGGATATTTAAATGTTAAGGAAAATTCTAGAGAAAGCCATATCAAGGAATGACTTTTAAGGGTGGCATTTCAGATGTCACACTGGATTAGCAAAAAAGGTAGGCAACACACCTGCATGGAGGTGCCTGGCCCTTGGTAATGGAAGCATTAGTGATAAGGCAGCCCCCCAAGGTGAGTCTGCTGCTGCCACCACTCTGATCCACCCACCCATTCACAGGGCAACTGGAGAGAGGGGGACTTTCTTGGAGTCACACCCACCCCCGTCAGGGTGGCCCTGTCCTAGAAGAGGCCTCAAGGCCTGCCTCTGCACTCCCTAGGGAGGCCAGGGTGGGGCTGGGGTTTCACTCACTTCTCAGGCTTGAGGTCTCTGTAAATGATGCCCAGGCTGTGCAGGTGGTCCAGGCCCAAAGCCAGCTCAGCCAGGTAAAACTTCACATCCTCCTCCGTGAACATAACCTGCAACAGGCAGGAGGGGGCTTCAGCTGGGGTCGGCTTCTTCTCAAGAACTGGGGCACCGAGCAGTCAGCAGCGCCCTGGTCCTGAGGGTCCAGCTTGAGGAGGACCCTTAGAGACCCCAGTGCCATACACCCTTCTCTTTATAAAAGGGTTTGAGGTATGAAATGACTAATATACAACTCACTATATACTGTGGCATTGTTTGGAAACAGCAAAAGGTTGGAAACAGCCCAAGGGTCAGCTGGAATAAACTGCCTCTCCCTTGCATAATGGAGTGCTATGCAGCCACAAACTAGAACAAGGAGTTTCTCCGTGTTCTGCTATGGATCCATCTCCAAGATATACTGTCTTGAAAAAAGCAAGGTACATAAGAGTATATACAGAACAGCACTTTTTACATAAGAAAGTGGGGATCATGATTCAGAACATATATCAGAACGGTTTGTATTTCCAAAGAAACACGGGAAGCTTAAACAAGAAACTAATAAAAATGTTTACCTATGCGGGGTGGAGGGGGCTGGGGTGGGAGGAAGACTTCTCAATGAATATTTTTCTTTTCAATCATGTAAATGTATTACCTATTCAAACATTAAAATAACACTTAAAAATTTTTTTTAAAGTTTGGTTCTCTTCTAAAGTTTGAATTATACTGATGGCCCCATTTTTATATCTGGCTCAAATTCTCTTAAGTCAGTTCAAAATCCTTTTAGAAGGATTTTGTAGGACATAACATTAAAGCGTCTAGCTTTCTGGGTAGATTTGGGCTTCTTCCTATCCTCACGGCCCTGCTCAAGGCAGCCCTAGAAGAACGGAGGCGGAGAGGTGACAGCCACCCTTAGCTCCCCAGAATTAGGGTGGCATCAAATCCAGGGCCTGACTGTCCTCAACCCATCTTGGGGGAAACTCTCAGAGGCTGTGCCAGGGTGGGGGCTCTGTCCCAGGATGGTTTCCTGGGTCAGGGACTGCTAGGCAGGCCTGTATGGTTCCAGGTCCAGGCCACATTGGACATGTTCTTTATAGGGCCCTGGGATGGGAGGCCTCATGGTCCTTCTTAGCTCCACCCTGGGGCCCTCTAGCAGTGGGGTGTCAGCTTACCTCCTTAGAGAGCCGTGTGAAGAGGTCCCCACCACGCAGGAAGTCCAGAATAAGATAGAGCTTGCCCTCGGTCTGGAAGGCTGGGGAGAAGAGAAAAGGCAGTGGTAGAGCCAGCTGGGCCCTGGGCTCTCCCCACTGCCCCCAGCTCCCTTGGCCTGCCAGGTGGGAAGTAGGGCAACGTACAGGGAAGGCAGCAGCCCATAAGCAAGAGCAAAGGCTGGCAGGTAGGGTGGGAACTCAGGTAGGGTCTGCAGTCTCACCATAGTGCAGCTTCACCACAAATGGGTGGTTTACGTCGGCCAGGATGTCTCTCTCCATCTTGGTCCGAACGCGGTCACGCACTGGCCAGAGATGAAAGACAGTCACCAAGGGTCTAGCCACCCAACACTGCCAACCCCAAGCCCTGGCTAAGAAGGGCTCTCTTTTCTCCACTTGTTACTCACATCTCATGGCAGTGCCCAGGGCTGGGCCCTTGGCGCCTAGCCCATCCCTCTAGCCGCATCTCTCACCTGTCCCATCAAGGGCCATTCAATCCAGCCGGCCTGAGCAATCTATTCCTCTGTGTGCCCTCAGCCTGTGCCCCTGTGACTCCCCCTGGGATGCCTTTACCAGCCCCCTCTCCATCTGGCATAAAACCCCCCATTTCCAGTCTGGGGGCTGGTGAGAACAGTCACTTGGGGAGCTAGTTAGAAAGGCAGATTCCCTGGGCCTAAAAATCAGACTCATGGCACCTCCCACATACTTAATTTTTTTTAAGAATAAAAGTCCCTAGGCAATTCTGATCATCAGCACGTTCTTCTTTGACTCAATTCAGGCCTCACCTCCTCCAAGAAGTCTTCCTTAACCTGCCAAGCTGAGTCACGGCCCTCTCTCCTAACACGCTGTGCTTCCCCCTGCAGAGTACCTTTCACCCTCTATTTTAATTTTTTATTTCTCTCACCAGCCATGGCAGGGACCATGCTGGAGTTAACTATTCCAGTCACTGTTTCCCAAATACACCTCACATTTTCAAACCGTCCCTGTGCTTTTGCTTAGGTAAACAGTTCCTCCTTCCTGGGGTACCCTTCTACCATTTTCAATCTGGAAAGCTCCTAATGCATCCTTCAAGGAACAGTTCAAATGGCTACTCCTTATGTGAGCCTGCTCGCTGTGAGGCTGCCACCCACCCTCCCCGGGGCTCCTGGGTCCCAGTGCCGACTGCACAGCCTCTCAGACTCCCAGGGTCTGCTCAGCCTCTCCCGAACAGCCTGGGAGCCCTTCACAGCAGGGACCAAGCCTTTTCATCTTTCTCCTCCCCCGTGGCTCCCACCATCCCTCCTGAGGAATGACTATCACCCCTATCAGGCCAGCCTTGGGGCACCAAAGCTACATTACCCCCACAGATAGCCATTCATGGGCCATATGACCCCTAATGTCCCCAAAGCCAACCCTTCTGATTCTACCCACCTCACCCCAGCTAGGGCCCACTCCACTTGGTAAGTGGCCGCACTGGTTCCCAGGCTGGTCAAAGAGTCCCTGCCCAGCCCAAAGCCCACTACCAATCACCCTCATGCCCTTTGTAAGTCCTAGAATTCTAGACCTGGGCTTGGGCTCCCTTCTGAACCTCTCTGCCATCCATCTCCGTGGCAATGCCTTGACTCACCCTCTCCTACCCACCCAGCTGCTTCCCCGAGCTCCCTGCCTCTTCCCTCCTGCCCTTCTCCACCCTGAGAGGTCTCCCTCAGGCTCTTCTAGCACTGTGAAGCAACTCTGCTGACACAAGGCCTCTGCCCATCAATCTGATGCCTCATATTTGAAGGCCTCACCACAAACACACTGCACTCATCCCACCTCCCTCTAGACATTCACCTTCAGCTACGGTCATTGGCACCTGGCTTGCAGGATCCTGTCTTTGCGATCAGTTGGGGTGCGGGGTAAGGGGCGGCTGAGAACAGGCCTGTTTTTCTACCCAGCGCTCCTAGGGATAGAGCGATCTCCTCCATCAGACCCAGGGCCCTTGAGAGCTGGGCTGTCTCCTCAATCCCGTACCCAGCCTGGGCTCTGCATTGGGAGGTGTCCTCCACTCACCTTTCAGCGTTGCCTTCTTTAGTACCTTCATGGCATACAGGTGCCCACTGTCAGGCCGGGTGACCTTCCGCACCAGGAAGACCTGAAAAGGCAGCCAGGGAAAAGCAGAGGAGAAGCTGGGGACGGGGCTGAGGCCATCAGCTCCCATCCTCCAGATCCCAGGCTGACCTCTAACTTCCCTGAGCCCCAAGTTGACCTTTTGCCCTCCTTGGGTACCAAGGTGACCTCTCATCCTTCTCTCAGATCCATCAACCCTTGCCCTCTGATCCTTTGAGCCCCAACGTGACTCCTTAACCCCACCTCTGACACAACCAGTGCTGCCCTCCCAGCTGTGGGCTCAAGACTCACTTTGCCAAAGGATCCCTGGCCCAGAACCTTGAGCAGCTCAAAATGGGATGGGTCGGCCTTCTCAGAGCCAGCCTTGACATGGTGCGTGATGGAGATCTCCTTGAGGATGCCCTCATCCTGATGGAGGGATAGAGATGGTGGGCACAGTTCTCCCATCCAGGCCAGAATTGGGCATGTCCCCGCATCCAAGTCCACTCCCACCGGACCTCAGCAGACAGGGCCCTCCAGGCCCAACCAGACAGCTACCCTGACAGAGCCAGACTCTGGGTTCATCAAGACAAAAGGGCCTCAAAGGCCAGGGAGGGTCAAACTAGCAAGATGCCAGGTCAGGTGAGGCACTGCTCCTATTGCTTCTGCTGCTCTGGCCTGGTCAGGCCCAAAGAGATGCCCAGGCAAGCCGGGCTGAGCCAACCCCAGGCTCTGGCTGAGGCCCACAGACCTGCCCCAGGTCCTCCCTGTGGGGCTCCCCTCCCCCTGCTGCAAAGATTTTGGTTTTGCCACAATAGGAAGTAGGGTTTGTTCTCACACTGGGGAGGCAGAGTGGGGCTTTTGCTCCTGGTCAGGATGGATGATCGGATCCCTCTGGTCAGAAGAACAGGGCTGAGATGCATAAGGACCCAAGAGTCACCTGAGACTCCCCACCAACCCAGTAAGTGCCAGTTTGGGGCAAGTAGGAAGCTAAGGCCAGAGGCTCCATGCCGCCACCCTCTGAAACTTCCTTCATACAAGTCTACTAGAAACCCCTTGCCAGGGCCTAGTTGTTCTAGGACCCCTGTGCTCTCCCTCCAATCTGCCAGGATTGCCCCAGAGCCCTGGTTCCCTCCTCACTTCCCAGGGAAGCAAGTCTGGGCAGAGTCCAGTCACCCAGCAGGGCCAAGCCTGGGCTAAGAGAGCCCAAAGCCAGCTGAGGCCAACCTGGCTGCCCAGACACCTGCTCCAAGGGCCACAGCCAGGCCAGGACCAGACATCTGGACGCACTCACCGAGTCCCGCCTGGGGCCAGAGCCAGGGCCAGGGGCAGGCAGAGAGGTCTGGCTGGTCCTGGGCCGCTGCTTCCTGGGTAGCCAGGGGAGCAGGGCCCAGAGCCGCAGACGGGGCGGCTTGGGATCCTGCTCCATCCGCCCGGCAGGGCCAAGGCACCATGGCAGGAGCAGGCAGCGTCCTGGGCTGCCGCGGAGGTGGCCAGGCCCAAGGCGGATGTGCAGGGTGAAGGCGGGGGTTGGGCCAGGCTCAGGGCCGCCAATCACTCAGGGCCTGTGGTTTCCCAGCTCCAGGCCTACACCCTCACCACGTTCCCTTCCTCTCTCTTCCCCCCTCCCCATTGCCTGAGGGCTGCCCTCTGGCCCTCCCCCTCATCCTCCCTGTGGGCCTGCAAAGGGAAAGCCCCAGGACAACCCAGCTGCTAAGGAGTAGATGGGTACCCAACAGGCAGAGACAGGCACCTAATATGTAGAGGCAGATAAAGAGGGATATCCAACAGGCAGAGGCAGGCCCCCAACAGGTAAAGACAGATGAAGGCAGGCATCCAACAGGCAGAGGTAGGAGGAACACATATCCAACAGGTGGAAACAGATGGGGACATGTATCCAACGAGTGGAGGCAGGAGGGGACTCACACCCAACAGGCAGAGGTAGACAGAGACTCACACCTAACATGCAGAGGCAGATGGGGACACATATCCAACAGGCAAAGATAGATGGGGACATGGACCCAACAGGCAGAGACAGATGGGGACCCAATAGGCACAGGCAGATGCGGGCTTGCATCCAACAGATGGACAGATGGGGACACACACTCAACAGGTGGAGACAGAAGGGGACATGACCCAACAGGCACTCAACATGTCACATGTACCCAACAGGTGAAGACAGGCACTCATCAAGTGGAGACAGAGACAGGCACTCAACAACAGAGGCAGGTGGGCAGCAGACAGAGAAAGCTAGAGTCCGTGAGGCCCAAGTACATGGACAGACACCCAGGGCAGCCACACAGGCAGGAAAGACACACAGATACATAGAAAATCAGACCCTGGACTCAAGGGCAGAGCTCCAGGTTCTTGCTGGTCTGCCTCAGGGTGGGGAAAGAGGTGAGAGGGAATCACTTGCAAACCCCCAGCAGTTGAGAGAACAGCCCAGTCTTTGTGGCAGACCCATCTCTGAGGCCTTCCATTTCTCTGGGATTTTCTTCCCACGCCAGGGCCTGAGGAGGGCCCAGAACTAGGACAGTGGGCTGAGAAGGACATCTCCTGAGTGCAATCTGATGGCTTTCACTCTGATATAAATATCCCAAAAGCTGTTACCCTCATTTCAGGAACAGGAAACTGAGGCCCAGAGGACAGTGACTCACCCAGGCTCAAAGGGAACCAGTGGCAGAGCCGGCTTGAACCCAAGTCCTTCCCCTGGTTACCGCCTGGCCTGGGGTCAGCAGGACTCAAGTGCCAGGAAAGGGTGGGCAGGTAAGTGAGCCAGAGCCATGTCCTGCCCATCCAAGCCCACCCCCTCCCTCAGTACCAGGGTCAGTCTGGGGACTTCCCATTCCAGGTCTTGACCCTCAGAGACACAGCCCCATCTTCAGGGGACCCTGAATAGCCACAACAGCTGCAGCCACCAAAAGCTGCAAGCTAATCAGGCCCCTGAGTGTAACCCCGGGCAGGACACGCAGGAAGCCTGGCTCAGAGAGGGGCTGAGGTGGGTCAAAGCCACACAGCAACCCCTGCCCACCCCACCCTGAGCTCTGAGCCTCCACCTATCTGTCTGCCTCTGACTGAAAACACTCCCTGGGGACAAAGGCAGTCATCCGGAAACCCCAGGGGACAGAGCCACCCCTAAACCCCTTCCTTGCCCAGAGTCATGGTGACAGACGCCACTGGAGGCAGGCCAACCCTCTGCTCACCTTTCTGAGACAGGGAAGTGAGTCTCTCTCAACCCTGGGGAAATCTGCCGGGGTCTGCATGGTGGGGCTCAAGCCGGTGGCCAGAGGGCCCCGTTACTCCCCTTACTTCTGCTTTTTCAGCCTTCCCGGCCCAGAAGGCAGGGTCGCTGACCCCCTCCTTCTCACTTCCCCCTCTGCAGGGAGGAGGGACAGAGATGGGTCAGGCTCCCCTGCCGAGGAAGGGACACCGCAGACCCCAAGCCCATGACTCCAGAGGGGGCCCAGGGACACACCCTTCCTCATCTCCTCTGATCCTAAAGAGAGAAGACCAGAACCCAGAAAGAAGTCACAAGGCGATGAGGCGGTGACACAGTGGGCATCCCAACACCTGCAAAGATTCCCTGAGAGAATGTGGGGATGTCAGCAAGTAAGCAAGGCCACAGTCTCTGACTGCCCCAGCCCAAAGTGTAGACACTCCTTCCCCTGTAGTGACCTTCCCGTAGCTGGGCCCACCCAAAATGGCAGCCCACAGAGCAGGCACCACCACACCCAGCCCTACCCCGAAGAAGCCTGCCAGCCCAGGGCCCTGGGATGGGCAAGGGGGAAGAAGGCCCTAGCAAGGACCTCACAGAGGACTGAGAGGAGGAGCAGGTAGCCATGGGACAGGGGTTGACCAGGCCCAGCCCCCTTCCACGTGGCCTTGCCATATCACTCACACCCGTACACCACAGGAACTGACACACACACAAATACACACAGGCTGATGATCGGAAACCATTTCCACAGACATCCTCTATGTGGAAACACACGCCCCCACGTACACATGGACTTCCCCTTCATGTCCTCACAGGGCCTCCAATAACAGACTGATGATGGCCTGCCGGGGGTTGTGAAAGATGCCTCCTTAGACTGAGGCCTATTATTGCACCCCAGCTTCTTCAGTCAGGGGTGTGGAGGCTGGGGCAGCCCTTGGAGCCCCAAAGCTCTCTGGTCCAGCGCCAGCTGGACCTCCAACCCTCAAGTCCTTCAGAAGCAAAGGAAGACTCTGTGGCTAGCAGGGTACAGGAAGGGGCAACAGGAAGGAAACAGTCTCAGAGTTGCCTTCGCTGAAGGGTATGTGCAGGGCCTGTGAGGCCTCTGGTGGCAGTGGTGGGGGAGGACAGATATCAGACCACATCCCTTGGTCCCTTGCCCCATTCCCCCCATAGATACTTCCTCTTATTTACTTCCTCCCACAAGGCAGCTGGGAAAGAAGCCCAGAGCCCCCCAGCCTGATCCCTGGTCCGTAGGGTCCCCACCCTGGGCCTCCCTCTACCAGCTGCAGCCCAAACCCACCTGCCAACCTCCAGCCCTAACGGACACCAACAGCCCCTTCTCCAGCTGGTAGCATCCGCAGGGCCTCCCAGGCGCTGCCCCCTCTGGTGGGGCAGATGTCCCCAGACGCGTCTCCCAGCACGCCTCTGGGCAGGTGAGGAGGGGTCCACAGTTCCCAAGCATCCTTGACGGGGAAGCTGGCCTCAGGCACTAGGTTAGGACTGGCATGGAGTGGCAGCAAGAAGTGTGCCTCCTAATAATTGAGCATTTATTGCACGAGGCCATTCTTTCCTTCAACCTTTGCTGGTGTGCATTCTGCCAGGCTCTATGTCTTAGCTCCAAGGGAGGTGCTGTCATCCCATTTCAGAGATGAGGAAACTAGACTCAGAGAGAAAGTGACTTGCCCAAGGCCATGTGGCTAGAAAGGGGGAAAACTAAGAGCAAAATCAAAGTCTGTTTGCTTCCAAAGCTTATACTCTCAAGCACTGCATTATCACCCTCTCAGCAAGGCTGGCCAGCCTGCCTCCCCTCTGGACATCACTCACAGCTACTGGGCCCCTGCTCTGTCCCCAGGCCAGGAGCCAGACACTAGGAGGCGCACATGTTAAGGCAGACTGGGGCCCTGTCCTTAGGCAGCTCTTGAAAATAAATACACGATAACAAAACACAACTGTCCCCAGACAGAGCTGCAGTCAAGGTGCTAAGGGTGCCCAGAGCCGGTAACTATCTGCCTGGGGTGAGGGCTGAGAAGACCTTCCAGGGCAGAGGCAGTCCAGCTGGACCCTGAGGATGAACAGGACTTGGCCAGGCAGAAAGGAGGAAAAAAGACACTCCATGTAGAGAGAGACCAGCGTGAAAAAGAGGCTTGAGGCCAAGAGGGCAGGGCGGGAAGTCAAGAACTGGCTACCCACTAGCTGAGTGCTCCCAGGCCAATCTCTTTCCCTGTCTGAGCCTCAGTTTCCTCCTCTGTAAGATAGAGGTTAAAATGAGATGTTTCACTCTAAGAAGGTTGTTTCTGGAAGCAAAATGGGCCACAGAGACAAAGGGACATTGTAAACAGAACTTCTTCCTGGATTAGATGGGCAGTCTTACTGCTTCAGGGTCTCTGCAGGGCAGGCTGAAGGGACAGAGCCCAGCCACAGGGTCCCAGGTGCTGTGAGGGTGGGCTAGCCTGCCCTGGCCAGTCCAAGGGAAGTTCCCCCCAACACCTGAGGCTCCCAAGGCTCCCCCAAGTCCACAGTCACATCCTGCCTGAGCTCCAGCCAGGGGAGCATGAGGGATCCGGGAGGGATCAGGGTTTCATAAACAGGAAGAGAGGAGGGGAGGGGGGAGACGCTCAGCTCTCAAAATAGACCTGCAGGCACTTCAAAGGGGTCCAGCTCCGGAGATAGCTGGGGGAGGGGGCCTGGGGTGCCCAGTCCACTCCCAGGAAGGGAGGAAGGTGAATGGAGCCCCAGCATGCCTGAAGACACCAGGTGTGCCCAGGAGGCTAAAGGGATCTGGGGAGCTCTCATCCTAGGCTGCTGTCCACACTATGGCTGCTAAAACCCAAATCCCCCTTTCTGCCTGAAATGAATAAAATAAACAAGCATTAAACACCAACATTGTGCCTCAAACCTTGTTGGAATCTTTAATTTATACACATCACATTCCCTCCTCTGGGTGGCTCTGAGGGGTGGACTCTATTCTTTCACAGGACAAGCATATGAGCCACAGAGGGGCAAATCCCTCGCCCAAGGGTATAAGGCAAACAAGAAAGAGGGGCAGGATTCTGAACTCAGAACGCCTGACTCCCAGATTCCCCTCCCTGCCTCTTTCTTCTCCCAGATCCCACTGGCTGGGTTCCCCAGAATGTGTTCATCTCATCATGCTACCGAGAGAAATGTGGGCACCTGGAAGGTGGTATATTTCTTTCTCAGTATGGGGCCTGGCACAGAATGGAGGTTATATGTACCCACAGTCATGTTCTTCCCCATCACAGCCCACCCACCACACAGCTTTCTTGT